AGCATGGATAATAACCATCTAGGTGTGGAAATTTGGTCGTTGAGCGCTTCTTGAACATCCAGAAACTCTATCAAAGCTGGGTTTTTCTGTTCCAGCATCTTCTCTGCTTTAACGGGAATCTGATGAAAGGCCGTCTCTACATACTTTCCAGTTGGTACGCATATTGATTAAAATGAAGGAAAATCAGGATTATTGGCCCAGATGCTTTAGTCTGGTCATACATGGTACGACCTGTCTTTGGTAAGAAGATCACTTTAACATGTCTCCAGTTTAAATGTATTCCAAAGCTAAGTAAGATCATAACAGGTGACGGAAGTGGCCTAATTGTATTTCTGAACCCTTTTGTATTACAGATTTACATGAGCAAATGTTGAGATAGCCCACCTCAATTTTGTGTTATCACCTTCGACACCATTCTCCAGTCCTCGGCAGGCTTGAATACCGGTGAAGGAGGCGTTGCTATCAAAATATCCGACTTCGGAAAATGAACATCTAAGAAATACTCAATTTGTTGACAGTTGGTTTCTGTATAAGCCCCATCTGGACGCTTGATGTATATTTTGAGATAACTATACGTAGTCTAGCTACAGCCAGTAGGTCTTCTATAATGCAGAGTTAATAGCACCCTGCAGCTCTAGAGTTGCTGTTTCTACTTATTGCGCTTTCATAGATTGCAAGATAACTCTCCTTAAGTGCTCCTCCTACAGGTTCTCTTTGTGAGAAATTCAATCAGTGGACCTGGTATTTCTGTATGAAATTGGTGCAGCTACAAGACGAACATCATACATGTATTTGTGGTCTGATAATATGATTCCAATATAACCTTTTATCATGCTCTATTTATCCAAAGTTGGGTCGAAAACTTCTTGTCTTTCTTGAACCACAAATGTAGGGACACTGTTCCTAGTTATGAACTGCAGATCCGAGGAATATGTAATTTGCAGCAATGCCGTCCTTTTTGAAATGTCATCTATCGTTCGTCCCACATTGCCATCACGTACAAGGATCAGTGGCACTTGATTATCCTTTGAAAGATACACTTACTAGTTTCCTGAACTGCTGTGTGTGTGTGGGGGGGGATGTGAATCGTAGGTTTGCTGAGCAGATGATTTAATCTCCTCGAGCGCCCTTCTTCCCACTAAGGTAAACTAAGGTTAAAACGTATCTTCAGTTTGGCAGGAAATATTTTGACTAACGTTTAAATTAACCGCACCTCACCTTTCTCTGTGCTCATATGATACAAATAATTACGGTACTGATAAAACAAAAAAAGAAATAGGTTAATTTAATTTAATTATTTCGCATAATTATATTCATACATCTAGTAATCAATGGTTTTGAATATTGTGTATTGTAAACTCATGTATAATTAATTAGGAATGTCGTGTATGAATAATAGAATATCTGACATAGAACAAAACTTAAAAAGAAAAATTGTTTGAAGTGTTAAATAGCTTTGGGCTATAATCAAATTGTTTGTAACAGTACATCATTTAAAGTGTACACTTATTACATTCTATCCAACTGATATTACATGATTAGTAAGATTTTTACGGTTGTTCACACCTAGTTTTAAATAAAATTTAAATACTCGGCACATAAACTGGAGAGACAAGTAAACTAAGTTGTTAAAATTTCTACGATTGATTACACCGGCACACAAAAAAAAAGTTGTTTGTACATTTAACGCCACCTACCTTCCGACATGTATTTCGACCCGCTGAATCCGAATTTGAAGTCAGTTTGGACCGTACACCCTCAAATATCGAGTAACTTGAAAAACCGTAAAAAATAGCGAAAATTGGGTGTTTCGGTAATAAAAAATATGTTGTGGATCTAAACCAAGCCTAATTTTTATGTATTTCGATCCGCTGAATACGAATCTAAAGTATATTTAGACCATAAGCCGTTTTAAATTTAAGTAAATTGTAAAAAAACCCTCGAAAATTGCTAAAAATGGCAAAAAATTGTGATTATGTTGATGAAAAAAATTTTCATTCTGTTTATACGTCATTTTTTATAGATTTTACAATTTTTCACATTTTCAGATTCTAAACTTGTATTTTATGCATAAAAAAAATACAAGAAACGTATTTAATCGTGTTTCATAGATTTTTTTTCAATTTTTTCAACTGCAATTTTTTGCTATTTTATCGGTTTTTTGAGATTTTGAGGGATTAATGGGCCAAATATATTTCAGATTTGGATTCAACAGATCAAATTACATAAGAATCCTCTTCGATCCGGGTCTACAAAATTTTTTCCATCAACATAATCACAATTTTTTGCCATTTTTAGCAATTTTCGAGGGTTTTTTACAATTTACTTAGATTTAAAACGGCTTATGGTCTAAATATACTTTAGATTCGTATTCAGCGGATCGAAATTCATAAAAATTAGGCTTGGTTTAGATCCACAAAATTTTTTTTATTACCGAAACACCCAATTTTCGCTATTTTTTACGGTTTTTCAATTTACTCGATATTTGAGGGTGTACGATCCAAACTGACTTCAAATTAGGATTCAGCGGATCGAAATACATGTCGGGAGGTAGGTGGCGTCAAATGTACAAACAACTTTTTTTTTTGTGTGCCGGTGTTATATTATTGATTTTAAATTATTATTATTAAGGTGGCCATATCATTACGCGAAACTATGTATTTTCAAATACTTTAAAGCCAGAATGTTCCAAAACTATTATAAATTAGAAAATAAATCGAATAATGGAAACTCAAAAGTTCAATCTAAAAGTATGAAGACATCTACATATACAGGGTGTTTAAAAAATTTGTGCCACCGCTTATACGGAGATTCCCGTGTTCCGCCAGGTATATGCACCAATTGTGGTCCCACGAGGTATATGCATCGACCCTGATACGGAGACCTGATTCAGCGTTACGTAACGGACTGACTGGTTAAAAAGAGAGGCTCGATACAAAAAGTTGAACAGAAATTATATTATCAGTATTTATTCGTACTCGTTAAATTGTTTTTAAAAAATACAGTTATTCCTATAATTCGTGTCGTTGTTCATTCCAAAACACCAGTTAGTTCAACTTTTAACATCAAAAATGGTAATTTTTTTCTCCAGTGTTTTACAATGTAAAATTAAATATTTAGTAATAATACTTTGAAGTATGTAAATACTGTTTTTAACTTCTCGTTCAACCTCTTAACTGTCACAATGACGCGCAATCACGTGGCTACGGTTGGCTCCGAGCACGGGTGTCTCATGTAAGTTTTATATATTTTCATGCAACAAATTAATAAATAAATAACAAAGAAAAAAAAAGATATTTCCAATTTATTTGTATTTTGTAAAGGTGCATTTAAATTAGAGCGAACAGAAGCGAATAAATGAGCGAATGAACGAACGAATTCATTCGTTCGTTTGTTGTCTACAAATTTTCATTGAACGAACATTCGCATTCGTTGATGATCCGTCTGCAAAATTAATCATGTCGGATACAGATGATATAATAATTGGCGCTGCTAGTTTTATAGTTATGACGGGACTTTCCGAAAAAAAAAAAAGAAAAGAGTGTGGTGTTCCAATTTGTTGTAAAAAAAAACAAAACGGGGGATGAGGCTTTCTTAACAGATTTAACAACTGATAATTTGGACCAAATAATAAATTTCTGTAGAATGTCTATGGCAGGTTTTGAATTTTTGTTTGATTTGATTGTCCATTCCATTCTATAAATATTGGTAAAATTGAACAACTGTAAAACAATCTAATTTCAATTTATTATTTACCTATAAACAATAACTATTTAAATTAAAATTGCGTTCCTGGTAAGTTCTGGAGATGTGACCAAATGAAGCTGGTAAATTCCGTCTAGCAGTTGCCACTTCTACGACTCAGGATCCGAACTATTTGTATTTGAAATCAAACACTGTCACCATATAAAAGCTCCTTGGAAAACTGCCCGCTTTACATGCTGAACAAGAGCTTCTTTTGTCGATCGAGGGATATTCTGCTTTTTAATGAAGAGGTATTTCCTTGCCTCAACTATATCGTAGTTAGTGCTTGATTTATCACATTAATGTATCACAAAGAGTGCAATAGTCTGCAACGCATCGGGTTTCACTTAATGTTTTGTATTTAATTGAAGTAAAACTTCAGTTAGATCATCGAAACTATTCCAAGTTCCCCAAGATGTCCGTTTGCAATTACCAAGAAATGACGAGGTAGTGTCACATCCTGTTAGTACGTGAAACAGTGGCAGTGAAAGTCATTCCCTGCTCTTAGCAATATCGTGGACAGATAGATAAGAAAAGTGTGTGCCTGTCTCAAATACAAGTATTTTAGATTCAATTTATGGAACGCAGCTACTGCCAGTACGCTCAAAGATTCACGACCTATTTGAACTGCATCAGAAACGTGGAATATAATTCTAACATCAGCTTCTTCATGCGAACTAGAAAAATTCTAGGTTAATTCACGACTAGCAAAAGTGGAATGTGCCAATAGGAATATTGGCACATTCTACGGTTACAAAGAATTCTTGTTCCATTTTGGTTTTTAATGCTCTGTGCTAATAAAGGAGAAGAGCTTTTCTTTATTCTCATCCACTCTTAGGAACGTCTGCCACTGATTGGGAAGAGGGGTTGAAGGAGTGACGAGATATCTGGTACCAGCACCACGTGCTTGTCGTGTATGTATCTTAATGCTATTGTGTTGGTAAATATCCAAGGTAATGTCAAATCTTTGAATAACGACAAATTGTCGGTAATCACGGAAGCAATGCATTTGTATTATTATTAAGTGTCATTATTGTTATTTGATTATTATTACTAATCATATATTATTTTTTGTATGATATTACTCATAACAATAATTAATTAATTGAAATAAACACCACAGGTAATACAACCCCCTGTATTCCTGAAGGTACCTCAATGTACCTTGTGTGGGAGGGGACTACACATTTGGAGACAATGGACACACACCCAATGTCCATGTATATTGGGATTAATTTCTGGTTCAGAAAAAATCCTAGCTTCTCGACCGGGGATCGAACCCGAGACTTCCGGGTAAGAGGCAAGTATCCTTACCACTCGAGCACGAAGCCACTAATATTGGCAATTACGCATTTAAGGATGAAACGTATTTGTGAGTGCGAGTAGGCTAGAACGATCCGAGACGCATTGGGACCGCGTGTCACAAGTGCGTTTTTCCTTTAAGGATCTGTGCGACATCATAAATAATGGCGTATAATCGTGATAATCGGCCCCTGCCCACTTGGCCTAATTATTGATGGAAAACAGTTTCCGCTACGACAAAAGAAGTATGAACTTTTTCATAAGGAATTTTGTGTTTTCATTTTTCCTCAAGACTTTCTTGCCAGAAGTAAACTATTTTCAAGATAATCGCAGGAATAATTTTTTGGCCATAATTTTTTTTTCAAGCTGACCACTGAAAAAAAATATTTTTTTCTAGGCACTGTTAGCATCACTTTTGGCGAAGGTCTCTGTGCGCGGGATGCGGAGGCTTGATCTACCGAATGGCTGAGTCGACAGCTTGAGGGAAGCTGAAGCGAGAGTCCCGTGCCCGAGGCATTCATGGTTCAGCGGCTGAATTACTTAGTATGATATTTACTACTGATCTGTTGTACCTGGTGGCCTAATAAATTGTTGTGCGAAACTGTTTTTTTATTTTTCTTAAATTTCATTTATTTAATTAATTTAACATCAGAAGTGGGATAAAGGACCTAGCTATTTAGTGATTTAGTGAATAAGTGAATAAAGTGAACTTCAAAAAAATTGTCACGAGAAAACGAAGGCGGGTTGTACTGCCGATCAAGGGTTGAGATGAGGTGAACACGAAGTCGAGGTCCGGTTTGAAGAACTACTAGAATGGAGGCTTCTGCTGAACACCGGAGTTATCGAAGGGAGGCGTCTGCTGAATACCGAAGTTATCATCAGGGAGACTTCTGGTAGTAGAGATCATCAGAAGGAAGCGTCTGATAAGCGACGAAAAAACGCAAACCGTTCTAAAAGCGATGTTACCGAGTTACGGCAGGCCATAATAAAAGACCTAGGCAATTCCCCGGGGCAATGGATCAGTTGAGCGATATAACAGAACTATTTTAGATTCATTGGCAACAATGGGTGCGACTAGGTGGGACCAAAACATTCATAACATTCAGTTAGGATTAAACGGCACACTTAATAAAGCCATAGGCGTCACACCCAGTGAAGCTCTAATGGGCTACACAGTATTGTCACAAGGGCAGTTAGAGGCAGATGATCGCGAAATTTTGAATGTTGCAGAAATATGATCACGTATGGAGAGGCACGTAAGCGAGCATCAGGCAGGATGGTCTGGTACTGTTTAAGGTCACTAGCAATAGCAGCTACTGGGTGGAGCCAAAAGATGTTGCCCAAATGAAAAGGACTGTTTCGGATTGTGAAAGTCTTGGACAACGACCGCTATGAGGTGGCTGGCATACTTGGAAGTACTCTCTCTCAACTGTGGTACGTGGCGTTGCCAGAGTGGACAACATGAGGCCATGGATTCGTTACTGATAGCACAGATGGTGGAGCGTTGGAAAGGATGGCGGTCAAGTCATCAGGTACTCTTTCTCAACTGCGGTGTAGTGGCGGTGCCGAAGTGGACAACGATCATTATGAAGTGTCAGATATACCTGGGAGTAGTCGCTCTCAAGTGAAATACAACGGAGTTGCCGGCGTGGACAACATGAGGCCGTGGATTCGTTACTAATTAGATGGCTTTACCTGAGAGTAGTCGCTCTCAGCGGTAAGGTCATGGATAGGGTAAGGCAGTGGTACGTTGTCCCAGCTACTACTGAAGTGAGAGAACAATTAGCGTAGGTATCGTGATAAGAAATTACAGGTGTAGAAAGTTTCAAGAGGAGAGGCTCAAGAGGAGAGGCTACTGAAGGGTTCTCTTACTTCCAGAGTAGGTAGCGGTACTGGACTGAACGTATTTCCTGGGATCACTGATGGTACAGGGCTAGCAGGGTGTTAGGTGACCATTAGGCTAAGTTAACCATTAGGTTAAATTGCACCTAAGTTAGTTCAAGATTGGTTATTATTTTAAGGTTATTTTATTATGTTTAATTATAATTATTAATAAACTTGGCCAAGTTCATTATTAAATTGCAGGATAGGTTAGCCTGTGGGTCACCACTTTGAACAATGAAAATGCAGACATAGATTACACATACTCTTTCATTTTTTTAATTTTTGTATGTTGCGATTTGGTAAAGACATCTCGAAGTTCTAAAGCAAATAATTCGAGTTTCAGTTCTTCTGGACTTGACGAGTGAGGACACTCTTTGGTCAGGAAAGGCCTAATGTTAACATCACTTCTGGCGAAGGTCTCTGTGCGCGGGATGCGGGGGTCGGACCTACCGAATGGCTGAGTCGACAGCTTGAGGGAAGCTGAAGCTCGGGCACGGGATTCTCGCTCCCGTGCCCGAGGCATTCATGGTTTAGCGGCTGAATTACTTAGTACGATACTTACTACTGATCCGTTGTACCTAATGTCCCAATAAATTGTTGTGCGAAACAATTTTTTTTATTTCTTAAATTTCATTTATTTAATTAATTTAACATAATATGTCATATTTTGTTAGTCGATAAATACAAATTTCACAAAGTGAACGATTGTTAATCCACTATAGAGATATTATTCCACACAATTATGTATATGAAACTGCTATCTTCTTAGTATTATTTTCCAGTTAATCAGTAGAGTTCAACTGCAAGCTTGCAGGCCGGGACAAGTGCAATTTGAACAGCAAAAAACAAATTTGCACAAGGCACGACCTATACGCTACAGTTAAATCGACTTCTTCCAAATGTTCTTCTATAATTTATAGTGACTCTCGTCTCGTTTATCGGTAAGAGCATCTAGTCGTTTACTACAAACTTTCCTAAGCTAATATTAAATGTTGTTTTTAACTTAGGATTTAAATGTTGTTCAATATTACACAACAAACCTAACAAGACGTAACAAGATTATTATTTATTCATAATATAATTTTTTATAAACTCATGAGAAATGGTCGTTTATGCTATAATATAATACATCTAATAATAAATATACGGATATTACTTATCAAGGAATTTGTTTTGATTATACAGCTGCATTTTAACGGATCTAAATGACGGATTTTTTTAAAACATACGACGATAAGATTATGTGTTAAGATCTACTTTACATTTAAATATTAAGCCATAAAATAAGCTACAAAGTTTATTTAAAAAGTACTAATTTAATGTTGTTGAAATTTATTTATTCATTATTGTGTTACAATATTTATGAATAATTTTACATATTTTTTAATAAGTATATACATTAGATGTTAAATTATACACAGACAACAGTTAGTGAAATTAAGAAACTATTTAATATTTAAAACAGGCTTTTTTTCGCAACCTACATTATTATTTAGTTTGTAGCAGTAAATCTTGAGCTGGACATCATAATAATGGACATTATTATATACGATACTTTTTAAGTATTCTCAGAAATGGATATTACAGATGCATAAGATTGCTCATCTAAAGGTATACGGTAAGAGAAATAAATATACAGTGATATTTGGTAGTAAATTTTGCAGCAGGTAATAAAATATGGAGACTATTTACCATTTTCTCGGCAAATTTTAATTTTTTTTAAGTTTCCCAAATGTATTAAATTACTACTTACTATCTTTTTTCATTTATCCAAAAGAAACATAAGGCATTTTCAACGAGTAAGAAATACAAGAGGAGAAAAACTATTTTAAAAAATAAAAAACGTCAATATTGAGCTAATTTGGGAGGTAGACAAGGTTCTATTTTAGGGCCACTATTATTCATGATATTTATTAACGATTTATCTAATTTCATCAACGATACTTTGACAGTTATTTACGCTCATAATATTAGTTGCACAATAGACGCTGATTCTGCTGAAGAAATGAATTGGAAAGTAAAAAGTGTATTTAATAATATTAGTTCTGGTGTCAACATAATATGAACGAAAACAAGACCACATTTTTAAATTTTTATCTTAGAAGACCTACAGCAGATTTCTCTGTTTCTATTAATAAGCAAACAGCTAGATACATACATGGCACATTTACATGGGAATCTCATACTGATTATGTGTGCAAAATGCTTAATATGGCATATTTTACTATACTTCAGTTAAAATATACTTTAAATGAATCATGGAGGTGTATAACACGCATTAATATATCCACACATTCCTCTCAATGTTCTGGGGTCTAGGGTAGGACCACTAACTTTAACATGAATGTAAGGAATACTTGTAGAACAAAGTTTATCGAGAAGAAAATATTTCCCTTCCTTACATATATATTTACAAGTACTTAATATATTGTGCTAAAATTAATATTAATGACTTTCCTGTAATCGCTGACCGTCATTCATACGAAACGAGACATAAAAAATAATTTAATTATACCAGCACACAGAATTACCGCTTTTAAAAGCTCTTCTTATTACAACAACTGTATTAATTTGTACAATAGCTTACAACTGTCTTCCATTAATAAAATTCACATTAATCTTTTTTCTTTCCATAGTTCACATTCATTTTCGTAAAGAATTCTCACTTTTTCTGGTAACAGCTTCAGAGTGTCGGCGTCTATTACAATTTTTGTTTTTCTCAGAATTAAAGTTCAGAAAAGATTATGTATACAATCGGCTCATGTTGATAAATTTTCTCCTGAAAAAATATGACATTTTACTCGTTGTATAAATAATTATATACGCATGCATTATGTCTATTTTAACAAGTTTTTGCACCATAAACTTATTGTTACAGTAAATAATTAAGAACCAAATAACAAGTAATAATAATGCATTATAAAAAAGAATTATGATCTCATTATAAAAACACTGTAATAAATAGCAATCAGCCATTTGGAAACTAAAGTTAATCCTTCCTCATAATATTAATATTTATTCAATCAACGATTGACATTTATTTCACTATTATTTTAATAAATAAACTGTTGGCCGGACAATTTATTGCTAAACAATTAAGTAACTTCTTGTTTATAAAAACATTTAAAAGGCATAATGAAAGCAT